TCCAGGCCTTCTCACCCAGCACTTATAACAATCCCTGTCATTAGTAGTGCTTAATAAATGTTTCTTTTTTTTCCATTCGTTGATTGATCATTCATACATTCTACATAATCCTTGCCTGTACCTTCCTACAGACTTCCCATTGAGTATCTACCTATGCTGTTGGAAATGTTCTTCTTGTTCTTTAGGATCCCAGGGGTAGAAATGTACCACCTGGACTGCATTAAAGCCCCTTTTTTTTTTTTGCTTCATGCCCCACCTTCTTTCTTTTCCAGTCCCCTAGGTCTATTATAACATGCTGCATCACTTCACACGTACAGGTCATCGTTGTTCAGCATTCACAGCCTACTGTTATCCATCATGCAAACTTATAGCCCTCTGTCTCCTTTTTAACTTTATTTTTTTTTCTAAGAATATGTTGTTTAGTAGTGCAAATATGTTTTTTGCCATATTTAAAGTGTACTAAGTGGTCCAGATGCTTATCTGTATCAGATAATTAGATTCAGAGAGAAAGTAAGGGACCCTTAAGCATGTTGGGTACTGGGTTCTGTGTCTGTGGTGAACTTATGAGAGGGCATGGTCTCAAACAGGAGGGGGATGTATAATTAGCTTGGGATCAGAATTATTGGAGGGAATTACTAACTGATAAGATTAGAGATTCATTTGAGTATTTGAGTACATTTGTTGGAGCCAAGCTTAATGTAAGACAGTCCAGTGATTACAGCTGAGGATTCAAATGCAAGGAAACATTGATGGATCATAATAAAATTCAATAAAATGAATTTACTCGCAATAAGATCAAAAGGATTTAATTTGCTAAAAGCATATGCTATTTCCTCTCCACCTCCATATTTACAGGGCAGCAATGCTGGGTCAGAATGAAATCCCTTAGGGCAGAGGGAAATCTGCCAAAACTCAGGAACACCAACATCTCAAAGTCTGAACTTTTTATTCTTCTTATCGCCTGGATCAACCAAATTCTGAGGATGGCTTTCTTACCTCTTTGAAAGGAAAACACTCCTCCCCATCCGCATCCTAAAAAAGAGAGATGTCATCTCCTCTACACTATTCAGAAAATTTACAGACAGAATATAGAATGCACACATACAAAATGACGTGAGAGAAATTGCAAAGAAATATGTCAAACTGGGAAATAGAAGACCGGACAGAGGGGGAACTGAGTTACTGAGACACTGAAAGTTTTTTTCTGAGGTTATAAAATTAACCAATTGTTCAAACAAGGCTAGAATGCAATTATTCCAAATCCTAATCTGGCATACTACAATTCCCTTCTCACTTTTGGTACACAGGTAATTCATCATTCACACATTCATAAGATATTTATTTAATGCCTCTTCTATAGAGGTGATGTGGTTCCGTGGACAGAGAGGTGACCTCAGAGCCAAGAAGAACTGAGTTCAAGTCTTGCCTTTGCCACATACGGACTGTGTGACCCTAGGCACCTTAGTGTTTCAGGCAGCTATAAAGTGCTAACTTTCATTATTAAACGAAGTTGGGTTTGGTTTTTTTTGGGTTTTTTTTTTGCCATCTGGAAATTCCCTAAATGATTATACAGGGTGGGGAACCTGTGTCCTTGAGGCCGCGTGTGGCCTTCTAGGTCCTCAAGTGTGGCCCTTTGACTGAATCCAAACCTCGCAGAACATTGTTTGGACTCATATTTGGATTGAAGTTTGGTTTCAGTCACAGGGTCACACTTGAGAACTTAGAGGGTCACTTGTGACCTCAAGGCTGCAGGTTCCTCATCCCTGTAGGAGTTTACTATCTACTTAGGGAAGCAAGAAATTAATTCCATTCTATCCATAAGTGGGCAGATGAGTGCTATCAACATGAAATAAATGTTTTCTTCCTATCATCAAATTTAGTGAAATAATATTTTGCTGACTTAGAAGCAGTACTGAATGGCAATCATAGAGTGGCTTTGAAGCTAAGAAAACCTTGGCCAAAATCCTGCCTTTGGCTTATGTTGGCTTTGGGACCCTTGGCAAGTTAGTTAAGCTCTCCATATTTGGTACAGTCTGGGACTACAAGTTGTGGAGAAGGTGGCAGCCTGCAATGATAGAGGAAGTTCCTTCATCAGGACAGCCCTCTGTACCAATGAAACCACAGGTCTAGTTCTTATCCTCTTTGATTAAGGGGTCTATGAGCAAATACTTTTTGTAATTACTTTTAAAAATACAGATAGACTTTGTTAGCATGGAAAGGGAAGGGATCAACTTTTCTCATACTCATACGCATAAGCAAAGAATCATATACATTAATCAACCAACCTTATGAGCAGAAAATACCACAGTATACTCAGAAAGCAAAAATACAATATAGCCACACGGGTGTATATAATGCGTTACATGTACATGTGTATATGTGCATACACATGTATAATCTTATGTGTGAAGTATGTGTATAGATGCATGTAAAATTATATAAGCTTGTATCTATAGATATGCACATGTATATTTGTATAAACAGGCATGTACGTATATACATGAATGCACACATACATATACGATATGAACATGTGCATGTATGCAACAAATACACATGTATGTATGTATGTATGCTTCTATGAAGTAGCTTCACTTGCCTTCTGTTTCTCTAGTCATACCTCAGGTGTCTAAGCAGGCTGGATAATCTGAGCCTTTCTCTGGAGATAATATGGAGGGCAGCCCCTTCACCTGAGGGATTTCTGTGTGCTGGAAGTATCCAGAGATGCATTTTCCTAGGAGTTAAGATCTCCAGAATGGCTTTTGGGCTTTGTGTAATTTCTGTCTGCACCCATACATCTGGACTTCATTTCATTGTATTTGCATTTAATAATAAAGCTGCTTTTCCTTAACCATAAGTTGTGAATTGTCAAAAACTTTCAAAATCCTCCCTACTTCCCCACATCCTGCTATATATACTTTGAAGTCAATTCAATTGCTAGTGTGCTGATTCCAGGGCAGGGCAAGGAAATGTGCCATATACATTGAGGCAGTAAATTCTCTTCCATATTTTCTTTCTCCATTTTTGATCTAATGTAAACACTAGGAGTGTCTCCATGGGCTTTGTGGTAGATTCACCTTTAATTATTAAAAGAGAGCAAATCATTCATGCCCCTTTGAAGTTCTTATTTGTTTTCTGACAGTGAAATTAATATACAAGCCACTACATATGCAGCAGGGTAGATAGTAAGTATAATAAAGAGGGAAACAATAAGATGAAGGACTAGGAAGAGAGCAAAGGCGGAGAAAAAGACAATAACTGAGAAACTTGGAAAAGGTGGAAATATAGAGAGAAAGAAATGTCCTGTTGGATAGAATTGCTAGTGTATTTTTTTTTCTCCAATATTTGGTGAGAGGCACTTGGAATATTCTTGCTGGGTCACTGTCCATAGATTTATGTACAACTATGTGCTCACTGCCAGTGGGCTTAGAGAAGCTAATGATGAAGGAAAAGATTGAGGAATAAGGAAAAAAAGCTTTTAGATATTAAAAGTCACTGAGTGATGGCTTCATCTGGTGAAGAATTTGGAAAGCAAAAGCACTCACCAGTTCAGTAAGTTAGGGAAGCTGGAAAAGGTGGGTGCAGAAGAGCAATGAAGACCAGGAAAAAAAAAGTTGTCACTCAATATCAAATATGAGATCTTTCTCATATTTGTGTGTGGCTTTCATTTCTTTTTAAAAATTGTCCAGTTCTGGTAATTAGAAAGTAAACGTAATGAAGGAGCTGGGCTGAGTTATACTTTAATGAGTCAAAATCAGAGCAAGCTGGTATTCGTGAAGTAGCAACATTTGGGGGGGGAGGTGGATAAAAGCTATTTTTCAGAGGAGAATCTTACCAAAGAGTCTTCTGGTTCAAGGTGCATTGATGAAGCTGTTCATGGTACTAAGACTGGAATACCCAAGCCAGCTTTAGGAAAGAATTAAGGTGTATATAATGGAATAGATGAATATTATTATGCATATTTTGATTCCTGAATATGTACATATATGCATATGCACATATATAAACATGTGTCATCTGTTATTGGTTATATGTTATTTTGTTTCCCTCTTACTGCCTGAATTTTCTGTTTGCAACAAAATGACCATGAAACAGATTGGTTATAAGTAGGCCTTAATTTAAAGAGACCGTGGATTCCTCTATGCACAAAATCTTGGAAATTGGAGTAGGTCATTCCTACTCTAAGAAGACTTCCCATTATCTGCATGTTCAGATTTTGATTGTTGGGTCAAAATTATTTCCACTCCAGCAGAGACATAAATAATAAAACCAAGTCAAAACATGGGAGGTCCATGTGTCCAAAAAACCCTATGTGAGTAGATAAGATCTCCAGGAACAAGTTGGAAGGACTTCAGCAGCCTTCTCACCCTGATAAACCAAGGCTCAGATTCCCTGAGTAATGCTGTCAAAATGAAGCCAGCAGTGTTGGCCAAAAGGCCCTTTTCTGACAGCAGTAGAATCTGAATAACAACTCTGCCCCTGCAGCATGGATAAACACTAGTCCCCAAACCTTATAAGCTCTCCCACTCCTTTTCCCACATTAAAACCATATAAAAATGCACCTAATTTTACTGAGTTTTGGCATGCCCAGTTCCACCCTGGGATCTCTTTTCATCCTTCCTGATTGTCATTCTTAGTGTACTTCCCCCAAATAAAGCTAATTTGCTTTACTTTTTCCTTGCTTACTCTTTCTTGTTAGACTGTTTCCTCACAGTGCAATTTGGAGGCCTAAATCTTACTTCAAACTCTTTTAAGACACATAATTCCACCTGGCTGCATGGGACTCATTGTCTCATAGAATTTCAGCATCAAAAAGCACCTCAGAGGTCATCTAATTCAGCCTCATACCCCATGTGGAATTCTGTCTCCACAATTTCCCTCTTATAATCATCTAGCTTCCATTTGCATTAAATTATTTGTCCTAAGCTTTTTTTTTTTTTAAATAAGCCACAGCTTTCAACATTCACTGAGCCATGAAAATTCAGAGACATATTGCTTACATCAGTCTGGGTGAATGTACTCCTTTCATCAATCCTGATCAGAAGTCCATGACTTATTAATTGTTTCATGCATTGCTGTGGAAGAAAAAAAATAGTTTATCACTTGGTGGCCAACCTTCTAGTGATGTCCTTATAACTTAAATGAAAATGTTCTTCCAAGGGTTACCAATGATCTCTTAACTGCCAAATCGAATGGCCTTTTCTCCGTTTTCACCTTTGACTTCACTGTAACATTTGACACTATTGATCACCCTGTCTTTGTAGAATAATAGATTAAGAGTTAAAAGTGACCTTAAATGCCAATGATATCCCCCCAACCAAAGATACTTTTTATCTATGGAACAAATGGCTAAACAAGGTTAAGTGATTTGCCCAGGGTCACACAGCTAGTAAGTTTTCCAGGTAGGATTTGAACTCTGATCTTGCTGACTCCAAGTCCAGTATTCTATCTACTGTGCAACTTAGTTATCATCTTGGATACTTTCTCTTCCCTGGATTTTGTACCACTACTTTATCCTGGTTCTCCTCCTATTTGTCAAGCCACTCCTTGAGGTCCCTTTCTGAATCATCGTTCATTCCCTACCCTCTATGTGTGAGTTTACCTCAGGACTTTGTCCTTATTTTTTTTTGTTTTTGTTTTTTTTCTGCATTAACTATTCCAGTGATCTCAGCAGCTCCAGTGGGTTCAACAGTTGTCTCTATCCAGATGACTCTTAAATCTATATATGTAGCCCTATTATCTCTCTTGAGCTTCAGTTCCCATAACAAAAACTGCATATTGGCATGTTTCCTGCTAGATGTTCCAAAGCATCTTTAACTTAAAATGTCCAAAATGGATTTCATTTTTCCTCCAAAATTCTCCGTTCACCCTATGTTCCCTTATTACTGTTGGAGGCAGAACTATTCTTTCAGACACTTTGCTTCTCCAGCTTGGGATGATCCTTAACTCTTTCCTTTCCCTTACCCACAGTATCTAATAAGTTATGTCAAATCTTCCCTATTTTACCTCCATGCACTCTGTTACAGTAAAAGCTGTTCTTCCACTGACTGTCCCCCATGTACAGAATGTGTCTCCTCCTTAACTCTGCTTCTTAGAATCTTCAGTTGCCTCCCAGATTCTGTTCATGTCACCTCCTACACAAGACCTTTCATAATCCTATCAATCTTTCTTTCTCAGAACCCCCACCCCCAGGAACTTTTATAATCTTGTTTTTGTTCTCTTCCCAGAAATCACTTTGCATTTAATTTGTGCTGCATTTTATGTTTACTTATCTAAATATAGTTTGCCTCCTTACCTCCCATGATTGAATGTAATTCCTTGAGAGAAGGTACTATTAAATTCTGCCTTTGTATTCACAGTGCCTAGAAAAGTGTAGCAGATTCAGATGTTTGTTGAATGAATAAATTTATCACTCTGAACTTAACTACAAGGGTTCTGATATCACCAAGACTATAATCAAAGTTTTTGAAGTTTGGTAAGACCTCGCAGAATCTGAGTTTGTTCTGACCTAGTCCCTCAAAGAGGCAGGGTTAGCTCAATATCATGTCAAGATTATAAAGTAGGACTAAAAGGAAAATTCTTTGATCTTTCATCCTGATTAATGAGGCAAAACTCAAGAAAAAAGATACTTAAAAGGAATCTGTTAAAAAAAAAGTATGTCAAGATAGGAACATGTTGATGGACCAATCCCTAGAGGTCAGAAAGGGATTCAAGATGGAGCCAGCTTTTAATGACAATTTTCATAATTAGACAGACAAGTAGGATAGGTCCATATCATCAAAAGGGGATGGGCCATTGCATCTCAGCCCCTCCCCAGTAGCCACTTCATAAGGAAATAATATAGATAAGGGGAATGGGTTTCTACATGGTAACTAACAGATAGAGGATGACCTGCTCCATGCTGAATAACAGGTAATACAAAAACTTCAGACTGGATGATGCCTCCCCCCACAGAGTTTCCCTGAACACTGATTGATAGGCAGGACTGGGAACAATGGGCTCACTGAGTCAGCATAACTTCTGATAATAGGACTTCATTGGAAAAACCATGGAGGTACCAGTCTATAATATGTGGTCACAGAGTTGCACTTTGGGCAAGACCTTTGTGTGGATAGCAATGGTTTGTTTTGTTTTGTTTTGTTTTTTTCCTGGTAGACAACAAACAGTACCTGGAGCAAGAGGGATAAAACACACCCCAGCCCCCAGTCCATCATCTTATGGGCAAGGGACCTTCAGATATTGTAATGTTCAAGCCTGAAGAGTACAGGAAGCTCACCAGGATGTGGCTGCTTAAGGAGAGATGAGGGAAACCATCTGGTTGCTTAATATTTTAAATAATTCTCATGAGCTGCATGCGTTCCTGCTCTATGCCTTGATAATTAAGTTGTTTCTTCTGCTGAAGGAATATATAGGTGCTTCACCTAAAATTTGGCATCATGTGTTAGTTACAGATCAACTTTGAGTGAAGTACTACATCTCTACTCATTAGAACTGTAATCATGTCTCACTTTGTTTCTTTTGAGTGCTTCTTAGTCAAGTTTAATGGGAAAACATTTTATTTTACTAATTAGTACTTCTCCATCCCTACTGAGAGATAGCTTCTTCTAGTTACGAAATTAGTGAATGGTTATAATACATTATAATACTATGATGTTAATATCATTCATTATGCCTGAAGTGCCCTCCCTCACCTATTCTATGAAGCCTTGCCTGATAACCACAGTCAAAAGTGACCTGTTCCTCCTTGGAAAAAATCATAAAACTGTTATTTTTCATTATTCAAATTTTGCATTGCCATGAAACACTTATTACCTTCTTAGAATATAAAACCCTTTCAAACAGACTTTATGTTATTATTGTTGTTGTTCTATCTCCCTCAGGACCTATTAGAGGGTATTTAACACAGTAGGCATTAAATGAATATTTGTTAAATTTGAATTTTAGTGTGCAGATACAAACTGACCCAGCATTTTCTTTAGGATATTTCCTTTGAGTCATTGTTGTTTGTTGTTTTTCTATGTGTAGACTTTCTCACCTAATATCCATTATGGCCAGTGTCATGTAGTTTTAAGACAGGTGGTCAGGGTTAGAGGGCCAGTATTTGGCTCTGGAAGAAGTAGAAATGAAAAATGAATATGGTAGCCAATCAGTGTTTTAGGTGGAACAGAAGGGACACAGATTGGAATAATGGACTAAGTTAGAATTTGGCAAGGACACAGACCCACTCTGGAGGGGGAACATGGAGGGTAAGGTGAGACCTAGGATAGGCGCGAATGATCAGGGGACATATTTCTACAGTTCTTCTGAAAGCCATTTCATCTGAGCTCTGAGTACTCCAAAATCAAGCCTTTTTCCTAACCATTCCCCCTGGAAAATGTCTTCCCTACTCTTTGTAACACCCTGTGCTCCTACAAACTCACCCTTCAAAATCCTTCCCACAGCTGGAAGTTGGCTGGCTTTTCGAATAGACACTGGAGAGCCTATGTTTGCATTTTTTCCCCTCTATGCCATCTGTTCACAGAATGGATTACAGTTGCCTCCAGTTAAAAAGCAGATTGTCTTGGCCCAGAGCTGGGGTAGCAGCCTCAGCACCCTGCCTCACTGCCCAAAACCCCATCTATATTCCCAAGATAGGCTTTTTAACAGCTGCAATTAGAACCCAATGCCCTTGGGTGATTCTTGCTATTACCTATTGATTGATTGATTGATGACCTACTCCTGCTAAACATTGCTACTCATGATCTATGTACATTCCTGCTTTATGCCATGGCCAGGCTCCATCCTCCTTCATATGTTCTATTAAGCATAGGGTTGTTTGTTTCTCTGTTTTTTAAGATGCCTGCTGTCAGACTTGATTTACCTTCAAATGGTTGTTTGTACTCAGAGCTTTCAAAACCATGGCCCCAACATTCATCAGGGCCGGCTGGAGGAGCCAGTGTTGTCATTGCCAAATCATTTTGGCAACTTCTTCAAAGGGACATTTTGTGTGTTTCAGACCCTCTGCTGTATGCACATATTGCAGGCTGAGGTTGGGGAGGTGCAAGGACAGAGGAAGAGAGTGGAGCTGAAAAATTAAAAACCTTCTTGGATCCGTGGGCTAATGCTTTGGATGAGAAGGAGAGAGAAGGTGTAGTATGTGTGATATCTGTCTTCTGCTCTCCAGAGCCTGCCATGGGCAGCTGGGAAAAGAAATCACACAACTCCATAGCCCTTATTTTCATTTTAAAGAGATTTACAAAAGTAGAGGGGAAAAAAAGTCTCTTTTATGTCCAGCCAATTGCAGGGTAATGTTCCTGAGGGTGATAAAGGACTGATAGTGGTGTAAGTTGCTTCTGAACAGTACAACAGCAAGAGTAGTTGAAAAGCAAAAGCCAAATGACAAGACATCCACAAACTCTCACACCACTCTTCAGGACAGATACAATGGCCAGAAAGCTACAGAGAGTCCCATTAACCAGGCATAGTTTTAGGCATAAAATGTTTACCCCATTTACCTCGACTTCCTAAAGATATCCAAATTTCCAAATCCAATGACTTTATTTTCCTCAGTCTTCCTTTTCTTTCTCTTTCTTTCTTCCTTCCTTCCTTCCTTCCTTCCTTCCTTCCTTCCTTCCCTTTTTCTTTCTTTCTTTCTTTCTTTCTTTCTTTCTTTCTTTCTTCCTTCCTTCTTTCTTCCTTCCTTCCTTCCTTCCTTCCTTCCTTCCTTCCTTCCTCTTCCTTCCTTCCTTCCTTCCTTTCTTTCTTTCTTTCTTTCTTTCTTTCTTTCTTTCTTTCTTTCTTTCTTTCTTTCTTTCTTTCTTTCTTTCTTTCTTTCTCTCTTCCTCTCTCTCTCTGTTCTCTCTTCTCTATTCTTCTTTCTCTTTCTCTCCTCTCTTTCTTTCTTTCCTTGACCTTTCTGAATCACTTGACCTTGGTAATTATTTTTTTCTTGAAATCCTCTCATTCCTTGACTTTTATGAACTGTGTTCTAGTCTTCCCCATAGAACTACAACTACTTCTTCTTTGTCCTTCATTGGCCTCTCTTCTTCCTCTTTATGGCCCCCAAATATAAGCATCCCTCAAAGTTTAGTCCTCAGCCCTCTATTCCCCCTTCTATTCCCTATTTGTTAAGTGAATTCTCACACCTCCAATGATCGTATCCTGTAAGATTGACTCCCAATGTCTATCTGTCTCCATGACTACTCACTCAAACTCTAGTTTTATGTTCCTCAATTACCTAATAGCCACTGTATTTGTATATCCTGTTATTGAGGTAAACTCAACATGCATCAAACTCAACATTATCCACCTTCCTCAAAAAGCAAACAAAGAAAAAACAACAACAAAACCTCTTCTACTATTCTTGACTTCCCCATTTATGTCAATGGTATTTATTATCATTCATTGAACTATTTAAACCTTGAAGTCTTATTCAGTTCTTCCTCTTGCCCCCAATATCCAATATAATCAGATCATATTGGTTCTTCTAAATGTCCCCTATATCTGTTCCTTTCTTCCTCTTCTCATTGCCATTACCCTGGTGCAAACTCTCATTAGCATGCATAGAAACTGTAATACGTTTCCCCTTCAATCTCTTTGCCATATATCTTCCCTTTTCAATCTATGTGTATGCCACCACCAGGTTAATCTTCCTACAAGAATATAATTTTCATCATGACTCTTTCTGGCTCAAAAGAATCAGTGGCTCCTTATTATCTTGTGGAAAAAGTCCAAAATCTTTAGCTTAGCTTGCAAGATCTGCCATGATTGGTTGCCATCCTGCCTTGAGCCTTAGTTTTGTGTAGTGACTCCCTGTGATAGATCTAAACTAAAGCACTTGCTATCCCTGGTACATACTCCATTTAATCCTTGTTCCCATGCCTCTAAATTCTCATAGAACCTTATATCATTTGCGACGTTTATTACCTTCTACCCTGTATTATGGTTCTTGGTGTACATGCTGTATCCCTCTTACTAGATCATAAACTATTTGAGGTAAGGAACTGCTCTTATTCATCCCTGTAGCACGCCTCATCCCTCTGCCCCAACCATGTCCCTACAACCCCAGTGTTTTATATTGTGTTAAGTGCTAAGTAAATATTTGATGAATAAGTTAATGGTTATGCCCTTTATAACTTACTGATTATTTTCAATAGGTATATTCTCAAGATTCGTTCATTAATTTAATGTTTATTACTATGTGCAATATTTTTTTTCTTTTTAATCAGTCAAATATTTGGGGTTTGAGTATGTACATATAACCAGGTCAGTGTTTTCGTGTGATATAGTGTTTCTAGGGGATGGAGGTAAAAGTATGCCCCTACTCTCCCTTGTCCCCAATTCCCCTCTCTCTGATTTATGTTTGGACTTGGATCCACCCAGCTTCCACCCCTTTTGCTGTTACCAAACCAAAGGGCTGCTTAATGAAATAGAAGAAACAAGAAATCAGGAGTCATCAACCAGCCCAATACAGGTAAGAATGGAGAGCTAGAGGCTAAGGGTAGCCATCCTGGCAATGTTCCTAGATGAAACAGTGCTATGGAGCATCAGAAGTCTAGGAAATTTATGAATGGAAAGGGGAGACAGAGAGGAGAGACAGAGACAGAGAGAGAGACAGAGACAGAGAGACAGAGAGGGAGAGAGAAACAGACAGAGAAAGAGAGAGAGACAGAGACAGAGAGAACCCCTATGTTCTAGACTATTTGGTAGGTCTAACGAGGGAAAACAAAAGCTTTGTGGATAATGTGAAGATGAATCAATCAAAGTCCATGCCTTCAATGATTGTAAAATCTTGTCGAAGAGATAAAACTTTTACACAAATAATAATACAAAGTGATATGTGTTGTTATCATAAAAGTAGAAAAAAGTTAAAGAATGGAAACATAATGATCCCTTCTGGCTATGGGGATAAACAAAGACTTTACAGGGAAAATGGTGTTCGAACTTCATCTTTTGAGGGGCAGTACATTATTTTTGAAAAAAAACCCATTTGTTTTTATAACACTTTTTTTTGGAAATGCAGTGTATCCTTCTTCCTTCCTGCTACACAGAGAACCACCCCTTGTCATAAAGAATAAATAAGAGGGAAAAAAAATACTTCATCAAAATTAAGTGATCTATTTAGTAAATCTGACAGCATCCAAAGTGCCCCACCTCTGTGAGAAAAATAGGAAGGCCTGTTTCCTTGTCTCTGCTTTGGGGACAACTTTGGTCATTATAATTACACAGCTCTCATTTTGGTTTTGTTTTTATTGTTATTATTGTCATCATTCTTGGTTTTCATTCTTCTTTCCATTTACATTGTTGCAATCCTTGTATATATTGTTTTCCTGATTTTATTTTCTTCCTTTTGTATTTGTTTCATCTTCCCATGCTTAAGTTCTTTCAGTGCATCATTTCTTGAAACACAATAATATTCCCTTTATTCATGTACCATAATTTGTTGGAACTGAGTTCCAGTCACACTGGAAGGACTTGGGTACCAGGCTAAAGAGTTTGGATTTTATTATATAGGCAGTAGGGCACCTTGAGGGGTTGAGCAGGGGAATAACATATTCAGAATTATTATTATTATTATATTATGTTATGTTGTGTTATATTACATCATATCATATTAACCAGTATAATATATTGTGATATATAATTATTAATGTATGACATATTATATAATATTAATGTTATATTATTATATTATATATTATTTTGGAATATAGTAGCTGTGTGGAGTGTGGATTGAAGTAGTAGAAGGCTAGAACCAAAAAGTATATTGTAAACCTTTTTAGATTGATTAGAGATTACATCCTTACTCTTATTTATAATCCTCACAGCAGCTAGTATAATGGCTTACCAGTATGGTGACTACACTTGGTAAATACTCAATAAAAAATTGAAATTCATTTTGTTTAAAAAAAGACCAACCTAAGATCCCCCCAATACTGTCCTTAGTAGATGTCTTTTCTTCTCTCCCTATAAAACACTACCTCAAACTATTCCCAAGGCATTCATGATCCTTAACATAGCTTTCTCCTTTTAATTCACCAAATAATGACCACTATGAAATTTATTGTCTGTGCCTTAAATGTATAATGTGTGTATGTATGCACACACACATGTGTTTCTGTGTATGTCTAGAGGAAGAGAGACAGAGAGAGAGAGAGTGTGTGTCATACTAAAGAAAATACACAAAGCTCAGAAAAAGTGTCATATCACTAAAGGCAGTGGATAGAGCTGGGCCTACAGTCAGGAAGATCTGAGTTCAAATGTAACCTCAGACACCACCTGTGTGACCCTGGGGAAGTCATTTAACCCGTTTGCCTTAATCCACTAGAGAAGGAAATGACATACTACTCTCATATCTTTGCCAAGAAAACTCCATGGACATTACTGGTATACTATGGTCCACAGGGTCACAAAGAGTTGGATATGACTGAACAATAAATCATATCATCACTTTCAGAATATATTTCCTCTTTCTTAATTACCTGTTCTATTTTACTTCCTTCAATTCCTTCCAACTCTCTCCTTTGGTCTTACCTGTCTATTTCTCTATCTATGTTCCTTTTTTACTCTTTCCGTTCCTGATGAGTTTCTGTTGTCAAAAGGGGAAAAAAATGAATTATCTTTTCTTATTTTGTGACCAGGCCAAATTCAGTGACTTACACACATACACATTTATCCCCATAATCTCTATGTTCCCAGTAACTGCTTAGTTCCTAACAGCTCAATAATTCTTTCCACATAATTCAGTAGTGGTGTTTAGACATAAAGCTTACGAAAGAGAAGAGGAAGAGGGAAAATGGAGAGAGGTATAGGGTCAGAGAGGAAACTAACAAACCTTGTGTTGCGTATCTATGTTGGAGTTTTCAGGATTAGGAAAGTATAATCAGGCATACAATAATGTAAAGGGAATGTTATACCTTCCCAAACATATGACTCACATTAAATTCATTTTCTGTGTCGGGAGACAGGTTGTGGCAGCTAGGTGGCACAGTGGATAGAGTGCTGGGGCCTGGAGTCAGAAGACTCATCTTTCTGAGTTAAATTCTGGCAGACACTTACCAACTTTGTGACACTGGGGAAGTCACTTAACACTGTTGGCCTCAGTTTCCTCATCTGTAAAATGAGCTGGAGAAGGAAATGGCAAACCACTCCAGTATCTAAGTAAATCCCAAATGGGGCCATGAAGAGCCACGTATGACTGAAATGACTGAACAACGGACAGGTGGGAATGTTCAAGGAAAGAGAGAAAATCACAAAAACTCCTCTAAAGTCACCTTTCTTCTGCTTCAGATTTTTTAGACTGTTTGTGTTTATAAAGAACGATGTGCCATCTGTCATCAGTACTGGGAATAATCCAGCTGATTTGTTATCTGCCCCCTATGCACAATCTCTGAACCTAAACATATATATATGAATATCCAATGGTTCCAAAATCATAGAACTATTGGGGGAAATAATTAGGCAGTAGTAGCTTGGAGTAGGGTGGGAAAGGAGTCATTTGGTTATAAAATAAGAATACTTTAGAACAGAGGAAAGAGAGTGAGCAGAAAGTAGACAGCTTCTTTCCAAGGTGAGACACCAGACAGCTGCTCTCTAGGATGGGACAGAGGGGTCTTTGAAGCTCCCAGAGGCTCTTTCTCTTTGCTAAATCATTCTGCAGTGTCATAGCAATAGGAATAAGACTGCAGGCTTCTGTGTGTGGGCCTGCAGAGATTGGCCTGACGATACCCAAGCTCGATTAATGAGTTTCTTCCTGACAAGGAAAATGGATTTGTGCTTGTTTAATTCAACAAAATCACTGCACACTGCTTGCTCTGGGTTTAGCAGGTTTAGATCTTAGCTGAAGAAGGAACCGCTAGTTAGAGTATACCTATTAGGCACCGATACACTAATGAGCCAGCATGGCATGTAATCAATGTGTGAAAAATGGGTAATTCTCACTAATGCCCTGCTAATGTTCTCATAATGATCTGTCAAAGTACTACAGCTAATTATTGTCATGGCAATTTGGCACAAGTTCACTAGGATAACACTGGCATTGGTGAACAAGTACATGCATTGTCACTTTTGTTGCCCACATCCAAAAATATAAAGCAGGATTTCTTCCCTTTTTTTGTCCATTTGTCCTTGTTTTATTTTGCTTTTTCTTCCTTCCTTCCTTCCTTCCTTCCTTCCTTCCTTCCTTCCTTCCTTCCTTCCTTCCTTCCTTCCTTCCATCTTACTCTTTAACGCTTCTTTTTTCCTCTATTCTATTCCCTCTCTCCTTTCCCTTTTTTTTCCATCATAGGAAGATTTGGTATGGGGAAAAAAATCCTGTATTATGAGCCAAGAGATCTAATTTCCAGTCTGAGTCCCTCCTCTAACTAGATGTCTGACAACCTTGATCAAACAATTTCACCTCTTGGGGCTCCAGTTCCTTCATATCATACCTAAGGTCTCTTCTTGCTCTTAAGGTTTGAGACTATACGTTTTTCCATTCGTATCTATCTGCTCCAGGGTTTTGGAACTGTACCTCCATTTTGTGTAAAATCTTATTCTTCACCATGGCAACCCACTGTGATATCATAGAAATACAGCTGCCAAGGTCACAGGTGCCAAGTGGTAGCTGATGGAATAGAATCCTAAGTTCACATGTTATAGAGATGCAGAGGAGGCAAAAGAAAGTAGCGCACACACACACACACACACACACACACACACATAAAGCAAAAACAAAAACACCAGAAGACAAAAAATATACAGTTTTGTTTTATGCATTTTTTCTGTTTCATGCATTATTTTGCTTAAGGGGTTTTGACAGGCTGTAACACTACTTCAACTTTTACCAAATCTCATTTGAGGGATGGTGTGGGGTACTGGAGAAAAACTAACAAAAAAACTGGTCAGTTGAGTTTAGGAAATTTGAATTGTGAGGCTGGCTCTGTCACTATGGACCTGAATGGCTCTGTCAAATGAGAAGAGTTGAATAAGAAAATCTCAAAGTCTTCCCCTCCAGCTCCAACATTATTTAATTTCTTAGAAGTTTCCCTACTCTTAAGGAAGAGATTCTTATTTGACTATTACAAAATAATGAATCAATATAAAAATATGGCAAATTAATATAGCGCCACACTTCCAAAGAAGTTCAAGAAGGAGCATTGGATTTTGGTTCAAATCTTTGCTAGGTGTCTTATGACTTGTGTGATTTGGAGCAATTCATTGAAACTCTCCAGGCCTCAGTTTCATAATCTGTGTAATGAGGCAGACTGGACTAGATCACCCCTAAAATCTCTTTCAGCTCTAAATATATGATGCCATGATCCTAAGACTTTTATATTCAAAACTATAAACTTTATACATATACATAAACTCTGTACAAATAACCTATATGTTACCTAGCTCTCTTTTTAACAATCTTTCTGCTAGCCTGTTTTTTTCTTTCCTTTTTAAAATTTTTTTTATTTGAATTTTTTTTTTTTGCAACAGTTGCAACATAACACATTGGGAGTCACCTTGAGAGAGAGAAAAAGAATAAGCCTCTTATTTTACAAAGACACAAGAAAAGGAGAGACAAACTATAGTGCTACCAGACAATAGTTTATACTTCAGGCTCAGCCTCATTTAAACACTCTTATATTGCATAGAATTGTGGCTACAATTAATCAATCATCTAACATTTATTAAGCATTTACAATGTGCCAGGCACTAGACTATGTGCTAAGGATATAAATTCTAAGAATTAAACAATAAAAATTCTCAAGAGGAGTTTTTGTTTTATCCTAAGAGACAGCAGGTATAACTGTATACATATGTAAATATATACATATATGCAAATATGTGTGTAAACAGAATAAATACAAAGAAAAGAAATGTCAGGTAGTTAAATACAACTTAGTTGTGGAGTGAGCTCTAGCATTTAGGGGAGGGGATGATTCTTGTATAAGATGGTACTTGAGTTGTATCCTTAAAAGAAGAGAAGAATTATATCTAGCAAAGGTGAGCAAGGAAGGCATTCCAGGCATAGGGAGACAGGAAGACAGGTAGTGAAAAGGCAGGAAGATGGGAAATGGAGTGTCATGGATGAGGAATAAACAGCAGGACAATTTCCATAATGGAGTGTGGGGGACCATAACATATAATGAGACTAAAAGATAAAGTTAGGTTGCAAAGGATTTTAAAATGTTTACAGAGTTTATATTTTATACTGAAAGCAATAGTATGCCTCCACAGTTTCTAAGTAGAAGGATAGAATTATTGTTTAAATAAAATCACTTTGCAATGTTGTGGAGGATAAAATGGAATAGCAATAGACTTGAGGAAGAGAGGCCAATTAGAAGGCTCTTGCAATGATGTAGGTGGCATGTGGTAGGGCCCTGAGCCAAGGGAATGGCTGTGTGAATAGAGAGAAGTGGCCTGATGTAAGATTTGTTGGGAAGGTATGAGCAGCAAAATCTGATAACTAATTGGGATGAGGGAGAGTGAGGAATATCCGATTAAGAACAAGAATAGTTACAAACCTGAAAGCCCAGAGGAGTGGAGATGAGTTTTAAAGGAACAGCAAAGTTGAATAGAGGGGTGAGTTTTGGGGAAAAGATTAAAAAGCTCTGTTTTGAGTACCTTGAACTTGAGATGCCATCAGGAAATTCCATTTGAAATATCCAATAGGCCACTGGTGATGTAGGACTGAAATTGAGGGAAAAAGTTGGAAATGGATATGTAGATCTGTGAGTCATCTTCATAGAGGTGATAATTACCCCATGGTGGTTGCTGAGGCCCCCAAGAGAAAGGAGAGGTCCCAGGATAGAACTTATGGGAACATTTCCATTTTAAAAGCAATGAGGCAGTTGATGAGCCAGCAGAAAAGGACCAAAGCAAGTTAAGAGGAGAACCAGAGAAGACTGAGTATAGAGCGGGAAGAGTGATCAATATGTCAAATGTGTCAGATAGATCAAGAAGGATTAGCACTGTGAAAAGACCATCCAATTTTTGAATTAAGACATAATCTGTAATACTGGAAAGAACAGTTTTAGCTAAGTGATGAAGTCAGAAGCCAGATTGCAAAGAGTTGAGGAGTAAGTGAGAGGAAGTATCAGCTGTGAATGTAACACCTTTTTCAAGGATTTTGGCTGAAAAAGTGGGGAGAGATATAGGATGATAGTTTGAGGGGATAGGAAGCCAGATTGCAAAGGGTTGATGAGTGAGTGTGAGAAGAGAAGTAGAGGAAATGTATATAGAGAATCCAAAAGCTCAGCACTAGATTTTCTGGGCTTCATGGAAAGTGATGTATTGCCAGAAATTCAATATGTAGCATATAAAAATAACAACAATCACAATGAAAAAACAGAAATAAAATTAAAATAATGGTTCATTTTTGAGACACAAAGACATGATTCCTTACTCTAGCAACATAAAATCCTGAAAAATCAGGATTCTAGGGGTGTCAAATCCATTGAGAATTTTTCACATTAAGGCAAAGACTTACACATATTGACCTAAGTTTATATATTAGATACACTCAGGAAAAATCCCTAAAGTGAAATTATGTTGCATCATATTTTGCCATTTATAATACAGTTTGGGTTGTATTTCTATAGAATCTTTTTTTGTTGTTTTCTATAATAAAAGTACATTTAAACTACTTGCATTTACTCCTCAGGGTATTTTTATTTTGTTAATAGCCAAATTGCACATATATAAGAAGATTTTTTTTTATTTTAATGAACCTATTTCATTTATGTTGATATGTCTATCAATATTACAAATTGCCACCCATCCACACCTTTTTATCCTGTGTCATCACAGGTTGTAGGAAGGAAGGAAGGAGGAGGAAGAGGAGTAGGGGAAAAAGCTTACATCTACATAATGTTCTAATGTTTGCAAAGACTTTCCAAGTGTTATTTCATCTTCACAAAAACCTTGTGAAGTAGGTACTATTATTATATTCTTTTTACAGTTGAGGAAACTAAGACTGAGATGTTAAGTGATTTGCCCAAGGTCACATGACTAGTAAGTATCCTAGGCTGCATTTGAACTCATCTTCCGGACTCCTGACCTAGTTGATGGTCATTATTATTATCATACATCATCATTATTATACTTGTTCCTTATGGTATATCATTTCAAGGTTTACTGAGTATTTTCCTCAAAAATTTTCTGTTAAGTAATATAAGTGTTTTCATTCTTCTTGTTGTGTTGGTTGTGATTATATAACTAACATTTATATAGCACTTACTATGTTCCAGGCACTGTGCTAAATGCTCTATAATTATTATCTCATTTTTACAGATGAAGAAATTGTAGCTTGGAGAGGACTTCTCCATAGTCAAGGAGTTACTAATTAGCAATACCTATATTCAATCTCAGTCCTATAAATTCAGTGCTTTTTATATTACATAGCACTTAGAAAAAGAGAAAGCTTAGCATAGTACTTGGATAATGAGCTCTTAATAAGTGCTTATTGACTCAACTTGATATGTAAGGCATTATTATTGAAGACAGGTTGGTATAGGGAATGGAATAGCCATCTTGGAATCTGGAAAATCTGGTTTCAAGTCTCTGATCTATCTATCTATCTATCTATCTATCTATCTATCTATCTATCTATCTATCTATCTATCTATCTATCTATCTATCTATAGTCTGTGTCACCCTGGTAAGGTCTCTTAAACTCTTAGCTACCACAAAGCATCTCTCTAAAACCTTCAGTTGCAAAGAAGTCACATCTGCTATTTTTTTTCCAATGGAAGGAAACACATTTTAATAATTAAAGCTATCCAAAAAATGAAATGGGCTACATTTTTTGTCTTTAACTGACAGGTGTTCTAGCAACAATTGGGTAATCCCTTTTGGGTGATGTTGTAGAGGACTTTATATTCAAATATGGGCTGAAGTAGATGCCCTTTGAAGTCTTTTCCGGCTCTTTCATCTGCTTTTGTAGTAACAGATTCCTCACTAGGAGTTCCCAGTGCTGGTGAAATCTCAGGTCTGGACCAAGAGTTGAGCTTTGTAAGATTTGAATTGATGGAATGGAAGAGGTCATATTAGTTCGGGGAAATACTTAGTATGAAGTCATGGAAGTGGGAATGAGCACATGTGTGGTAAAGCAGATGGACCTACCCTGTTGGACTGGGTGATTTGTCTTAAGGCTAATTAATAGAGGGTCTTGAAAGACAGGGCTGAGCAATTTGGATTAGAGTCATTAGCAAAGGAATAAGGTGATGACAACGATGTTTTAGAAAGATTAATCTGGCATTAAGTGACAGCTTAGATAAATATTTATAGGTGCTAATTGACCCCATAGGGGTGTCTTTGAAATATATTCTAGGCTGAAGCTTCTTTCAAGTTTTGTTCAGACACCAGCAAAAAGTGATACCTGAAAATATAACATATAAATTGAGTCATTGCCCTAATTTATAAAATGTGGAACACACCAACTGAATATTTTGCAAGGGAGGTTGAGGTTGACAAGAATCTGAGGAGAAACAGTACAGAAGTGGTATTTCTGTGTATGAGCTCTGATTATCCACAGTTTGCATAGAGGTAAACCACGGCTTTCTAGAATATTTGGGTGATTGCAAGGAAGAAAATTCTTATCACTGGAACTTCTCCTCCCCAACTACCAAAAAGTACTTCTTTAGAGAAGGGGGGGGGGGTCTGATTTCAGATTTTAAATTGTCTTGTAATGATGATACTCATTATTATCATAAGAATGTACTTGTCCCTTATCATACTTCTCATCC